ATCAAATGGATACATAAAATTTGTTTAATACTATATGATCTTAAGATTTGTTTTCGACTAACGAATAGATAACAGTAATAGTAAAAATAAATTTGTTCAATACGATATATAGATCTTAAAATTTGTTTTCGACTAACGAATAGATAATAGTAATTTTGTTCAATACTATATATAGAGATCTTAAAATTTGTTTTCGACTAACGAATAGATAATAATAATAGTAATATAATTTTTAAATAACATTTGTTCAATACGATATATAGATCTTAAAATTTGTTTTCGACTAACGAATAGATAATAGTAATAAATAAAATTTGTTCAATACGATATATAGATCTTAAAATTTGTTTTCGACTAACGAATAGATAATAGTAATAGTAATTTTTAAATAAAATTTGTTCAATACGATATATAGATCTTAAGATTTGTTTTCGACTAACGATAGATAATAGTAATAAATAAAATTTGTTCAATACGATATATAGATCTTTCGACTAACGAATAGATAATAATCTTAAATAACTATATGCCTCAAGTCGATTGTTAATGGCCCACTATTCGTATCGTTGCTGTTGCTGAGGATAAATTAGGCCAGACATCCATTAAGAAGTTACCAGGCGTTACTGTACTTTCAGTTTCATTCTCTAGTTGTCCATCCATAAGACACGTAACATCAATAGTGTGTGATTCGAGACGTAGCTTTAACTTAGCTCGAGTTAATAGTTCCTGTAGGACCGGACGGATGCTGTGTCCAAAAACTTCCCATAAATTGATAAACAGAAATTCGGCAACTGTTAAACGTTCTTGAGACTTAATCAAGTTTTTCAAAACTTTTACAATGGTAGAAGGGTTATCAACTACTGAATAGATAATAGTAATTTTATGGCAAATGCTGGAGAGTTCTTCAATAAATGTGCCTTTTCCAAGATGGGGTCCAATTTGCAGTTCGCATATTTCAGAAATAAGTTCTTGATGTTTAAGAAGTAACTACATATATCTTCATCAAGTTTGTCCTGCGGAACTTTCAAACCTGATAGCTTAACTTCTTTTCTGACCAACATGTTTAAGATGTTTAAGTAACTCCTTAGAATCTTCTTGCTGTTGCAAAAAGGAATGAACTAATTCTAAACTCTTTATAATATCATTGGCATTGATTATTGTCAGTTCAGTACTGTCATCAATTTCATCAATTTGAATGTCTGATGATTTTTATACAAGTCAATAAATCTCTCTAAAATTGTCATTTATTTTGTGGAACCAGGCTTCAACTTTATTGTCTTCCCTGAATAAACAGTGTTCTTCAGTGAGGTGAATTTCATTATCCGGAATTGAATTTATTTCCTGTGGCAGCTTGAACTGAAAGCCCATACATAATGTTGCATGAAATGATCTGCCCGCTATATTATAAATGTTTCCATATTTGAAGGTTGCTTCCTGTAAGTCAATATTATCTATGTTCCAGGTGAATGAATCTGTATGCAGCCTTTCAATTGGAGCAGCAGTCATGAACACTGGTGTGATACAGCATTAACCACTTCAAGGTATGACTGTAAGGATGGTAACAGTTTTGAGTTTTGACATGCAAATGCCAGAGAATGTGTAATCCAAATTTTCATGTTTTTAAATGCAGTTGTCAAAATAACTGATGATAAAAACGTAGTTATCATGTCAATTTTTTTTTGCTCTTTTTCACTAATAATAATGTCTCTATTACAACCCACTGATTTTCCCTTTTTTGAGATCATGTCATCAAAAAAGTCTATTAGAATTAGAGGGTGTGCAATTTGTAAGCAGACAGTGTTTCAGGCAGCTCCAAAGTTTTTTCCTGTTCCTTCAAAGAGCTGCATAAATTTCATATTTTTTTCCATGAGGGACATTGTCTGGCAAGGCCATTTGATGCATACCATTGGATTTTAAAATCATCTTGATTGCAAATGGAGTCAGATTATAAGATGCATGACTGGATGACAACAAATCAGATTCTGACATTTTATGAACTTGTAATGCCTGGGCCACAAAAAATAAAATTATTTTCTTCATTAAAATATTAATAGTATTTGTTTTAGCCACATGCAGAATCCAATTTCCAAGCAGTTCCAGTGACTTAGTTGCATCATCATCATGCTTATTATTATCTATTGCTGTACAAATATATTTTTCTTCATTTCTGCCTTTGCCATGGTGTTCATGTATATGTTCTCCATGAGTTTCAGAGCGAAATGGCTGAGACAAAAACCAAATAAGCCTTAACATTCACAACAAACATATTGTAATTGCTCAATATTAAAGTCAGTTATTTATTATTTCCTGAACAAGCAGCGGTGATGGTTCAGTTGCTGGACACCTATATTGACCATTGCACGAAATTACTGTTTCCCTTTCCTAAAAAGGATCGAGCATGTATTTCACATCTATTACTATCTCTGCAACTATAAACATGAAAAATTCGCTTACAGAAAGCACAGTGACGATTATAGATATAAGATTTAATGTGGCTTTTTTGCTGTCTAAAATTTTCTGGGTGCATATACTTCAAGTCAGACATAAAATGAGTATTGCACACTCCTAGCTGAAATATTCATTGTTTACTTCTTGCATAGCATTTTGATCAATTTCCCATGTGCCTGCAAGAGTCCAAAGTCTTTTTTGAGTGCGATAATGATAGTTTCCGCAATGCTTTATAAGCTCTTCTTTTTTGTAATAAGGGTGTATGTTGTTAATTCTTTAGTTTCTCCTCTGCTATCAGTTCCTCAATAGATTGTTCTTCTGTATTATCATCATTATAGGTGTCTTCATGTTCTTCATTATTATCTTCTTCACATTCCTCATCAATATATTTTTCCAATATATTCTTCATATTCATCTTCGAGGTTGGGGAAGAATAAAAACTTTTCACTAGTTTGTTCATAATCCTCATCACTATATTCACTTTCAGACATGTCAGTATTACTTTCTGAAATTCTAGCAGTTTTGGTAAAATTTTCCATTGTATTTTTTGTATTGTATTTGAGAAAACGAAAAAAAAAAGGTTTTAAATGTGTAATTTATAAAAAAATTGGGTTTTGATATTTTAATTTGTGATAACCAACACTTGTTACTGCTATACGATTATAAAATTAATTCAAATTCTTGGTCAATTTATAACAATTTCTTCGTGGATGTTATTTCGGTTATACAACTTTAAAATGCCGTACAGATTCGAACTGAATTTGTTGTATTATGCTTACACAATGCTTATGGTAAAACCGACTTCGAACAAACTATTAATAACTATGGTGCAGATCATCTAAAGCTCAAAATAAATTAACCAACTTCAAAACCCTAAGGCTTTTCTATTAGATGATATGGAGAAAAACTAATCCATAAGAATGATAGAACAGATGATGCAGAACAAAAGTTATGGTTTAGATTTTTTA